GATAGGCAACTGGTAGTGTGAAAATAATTATTTTCACCTTAACAAATATTTGTTAAGGTTCCATACCTTAACAATAATTCACGTTTTCAGAACACCTGCTAATACCAAAAGAAGAAGTAATTATAAATCATTTATTACCAAAAGAAAAGCAGCAGGGACAAGATGAATTATTTGCAAATTCAAAGTGGATGATTTTATTGAAATGGTAATGCATTTCTCTTCTTTAGCATTTACTATGTTCAACGTTCTTTTGCAAAAAAATATCACCTGACTTAACAATCATGTAAGGTCAATAGGGTAAGGATTTTGCTTCTAATTTTTTTTGTTTTTGGTACTGAGGATTGAACCCAGGGGTGCTCAACCACTAAGCCACATCCCCAGCCCTTTTTTTCTTTTTAGAGAGAGGGTCTCACTGAGTTGCTTAGCATCTCGCTATTTTGCTGAGGCTGGCTTTGAAATCATGATCCTCCTGCCTCCGCCTCCTGAGCCACTGGGATTACAGGTTTCCAATTTTGCCTGTAGAAAACAAGCTTAAAAAGGTAAAACAATTTTTCAAAGTCATAGCATTAGGAAATATGATGAGCAGTAAAAAACCCACTCATCTGACCCTAGCCATAAAGCTCTTGTGTTATGTTTTATTATATTATTTAAAGGAATAAATATCTCTACTAGAGACCTTAGTTATTTGTTTTTGGGATGGAATTAGACCATAAGTGCTCATAGACTCCTTTACAGCAATATGATTTTATGACTTGAGAAATATCACCCCTGGCACAAGTTAATGGGGAATATTTTATAGATAAATTGTTTTGCAAAAAGTCTTGATCTCTTAAAATTTAACTGGAAAGCTTTGGTTAATTTGGTAGGAAATGGTGGTGGTTGGTGTGGAACAAAGTAAGTATTTGGGTGAATAAAAGGTCTACAGGCCACACAATTTTGGTTAGACTGTTCTTTTTTTATATGTGTATCTGTATATGTGTGTGTGTGTGGTGGTACTAGGAACTAAATCCAAGGGTACTCAACCACTGAGCTACACCTCCAGCCCTTTTTATTTTGAGACAGGATCTCACTAAGTTGCCCAGGCTGGCCTTGAATTTGTAATCCTCCTGCCTCCTGAGCTGGGATCATAGGCATGTACTGCCACACCTGGTTTTTCACTACCTTCATACATTAAGTGTTCTCAACTGTGGTTTCAGGGCAGCAGTGGAACTAGGTGTCCTGTGGTTTATAGTCTTGGATGTGTCAAACTACACATAACATATACTGGAAAAGACTGGGAAAAAATAAAAATAAGACTGTCAAAACAATTGATTTGAGATTAATCAACAGGGAAAATCTTACTTCCATTGAAGATGTGTGTCTGATTGAGTCTCCCTACTACTGTCTCTTTTCCATTACTTTTGTTGATCTGTACCAGGCCTGCTCCAGAGGTGTGGTTGCCAGCTTCCCGGCATACCCTGAATATGTAGATATATGTGTCTGAGCCCTGGCCCACGGTGCTCTCAAAGCTGAAAGGCAAAGTGGGAAGAAAGGAAGAGTAGAGTTACTAGCTATTAGCCTCACGAAGAACCAGCTTTCCTCCCTTTCTTTGATAATAATAAAAAAACATGCTTCATTTATTTATCTGATATCATGGCTGAGTAGTATTTGTTGAGTTATAAAATATTCATGACCTTGATAGACCATAATTGGTGATACATAATTACAATATACCACCCAATGCAGCTAGATATTTCAAATATTTCTAGAATGCTTATTCTAAGCTATGCGAAAGTGTTATTTACTACTTCCCCAGGAACATGAGAGACACTGCTTTTTTTTTTAAAGAGAAAATTTATTTTTACAGAGTGCACATACCATATATACTATACCATGTTTTATAAACAACCATAATTTCGTAAAATTCTTCAGTGAAAGAAATACTAAATCCTTCTTCCCAATATGGCACGATTATAGAACCATATATCACAAAGACACTGTTTCTTAAGGATCACCTTCAAATTTATCTGAAGACTCCTGACACCAACAATGATATGTACAGGCCTAAAGATGTTCACCCGATACTACTAAAGTCCTATTATATGAAGGTATCAAATAATGCTTGGATTTCCATAAGCTGGTTCCCTGAATCCAGTCTTAGAACCAGCTACTCTACTGTGAAAGGTTAAGAGAACCATGTTATACTAACAACTGGATTGAGAATTTTCTCTATATCATTGAAGAAAGAAGGGTATCATGGCCCAATAAAACTAATATCAGAACCTGTTATTTTACATGGATTTCCTCCAGATTAAACGTGAAATAAAATCAATAAAAAGAAGACTCTTTATTAATAAAGATACTCTCCCAAGCCCTTTACGGTTCTTCTCATTTACCTTTTGTTAAACAGTGGAGTTAGCCTCTGCAACAGAGCCAACTCACTCTTTGACTCTTTTTCCTTGTCTCCTACCAGGTCACAAGTTTTTTCTTCTGTCTGCCAGGATTCTCTCACTGCCACAGCCAGGAACAACAGCAGTAGCAATCTAGTCCTCCAGCTACAGAAAGGGAACATCCTTTTGGAAGAGTGTGTATTACGGAGGGCAGGCAGGATCAGGAGAGAAGGGAAAGAGATAAAGCATGTGAACATGTAATAAATGAATGATATTCTGATTGTGCAGAAAGTATGATTCTTTGGCATAAACAACAAGTAGTTCATTTTAATATCTTTGTAACAAGAACACCTATAGCAGAAAGCCCAAAAATAAACTTTTAGTCTAATTTACAGAGGAATCTTCCAAAACAAACTGTGGGGGTGAGAAAAACGAAAAGAGAAGAGTAAAAGAATTATTTAATTTTGCTAGCCTGGGAACAGCCATCCTTGCCTCTTTACTGTCTGGAGAAAAGTTAGATTGCCTCATTAAAGTTTAATATTAGTTCACAAATAAAGCTTAAACCAGTGGCCTTCCCTAAGAAAACACTCATTATGATTTCAATAAACCCTTAAATATGTCTAGTTGGAAGTTATTAAAACTTGAATATTTTGGCCCTAACTTCTCATATCATTATTCAGGAACATTTAACAATCCTCCTTCATATTTACTCTAAGAATGCAGAATACAGGTAAATAAATCTCAAGTATTAGGTGCTGCAGATGTATCTACTCTAATATTTCATCTTTGAAAAATCATTCAAATTATAGGAAAAAGAAAAGTCTATCGATTAAAATAAGTGGTTTCATGAAGTCACCCAAAACCAAGTCACATCTGCATTTTGACTACAAGTCACAAACTTTCAAGGGCTTTTTTATTTTCAGTAAGTATAGTTGTCTTTGACAGTCCACTCTGATGGCAACTCTGGGTTCATCTGATGCTTGTATTACTCCAGGAATGGAATAACATCGTGACTCTGTTTCTCAAATTCCTTTTCTCTAATCCATTTTCGTATTCAGGCACACTGGTTTACTCTTGCAAAAGATTTCATTCTGGCATCCATTAATCCTTCAGACCATTGCTTCTTGTTAGTTTCATAAAATATCACTAATTTTCCCAGGACAAAGCTTAACTCTTCCAAATTTTTCTCACCTGAGATGGGTAAATGGAACCTCCAACACTGAGCCCTGAATGCACTTTCCCTTCTCCCCTCAACAAATTTACATTTTACCATCTATTTCTCACACCCCATTAGGCCAACAAATGCTTAGGAAGTTATCTACCTGACTGTGTGTACATCAATTAATTGAATAAATATTAATTAAGATATTTTCATGAAATAATTAGCCAAGAGGTCAAAGGCCCCCATAACATAGTTAAAGCACCATAACCACAAGAGCAGGAAACACAATGAAATAAAAGCCTCTGGCCAGGTATTGCTGGAAGCACTTAACATCTAACTATGCAAGAAATACAATTTTTGTCTCTACTTAATAGATAAGAAAACCGACACAGCTAGTGGAGCATACCAGATAGTCTGGTTCCAGAACTCATGGTCTATGCATAATTTTTGAGGGGAATGAAAGTAGGCAGCCAAAGCTGTGCTGCCCGCCCCTGCCTTTTTTTTTTTTTAAAAGCAAAGCAAGAAGGGGAAATGACTTCTCACCCAGTTGACTAAATAGGAGGTGGAATAAAGAACTCAGATCTCAAACTTCCACCTTCCCTAAGTAAACCTATCACTCAACACACAACGTGACCAGTTGATTCACTAAAAAGAAATTATACTACTTTTGTTAGATTGATCTGGCATGCCATTTACCTTATGTTCTCTCGGGGCCTAATTTGAAATGTTAACTTCAGGATCTCAAGATCTTTTTTTTCCAGAAGCAGTTTCTGGAAGGATGCTCACAAAGAATGCTGTGTTCTTTGGCCTCAAAGTTAGTTCCTTATTTGTAAACAGTTGATGGTTTCTCTTCCCAAATGAGAACAAAGAATCTCACAAAACTGGGAAGAGATGGAGAGCTAAATACCCTGCAGCTGGCATTAAGAGCTACCTTTTCTCTTATTGGTTCAAAAAGTTAGAATGAGAGTAAATTAACATTCTTCTTTCTTTTCTGCTTAAGGTTTGATTATCAATTTAAGCTATTTCCTTTTTTTTTTGTACCAGGAATTGAACTCAGGGGCACTTAACCACAATCACACACCCAGCCCTTTTCATATTTTATTTTGGGACAGGGCCTCACTGAGTTGCTTAGCTAAGTTGCTGGGGTTGGTTTTGAACTTGCCTCTTCCTGCCTCAGCCTACTAAGCCACTGGGACTACAGGCGTGTGCCACTGCCTCTGGCTAAGCTGTTTCTTTTTGATTTAGTGTAGCCTATGCTCTAAATACTTTGCCTAGATTATATTCGTTAACCTTCACAACCCAGAAAAGTAGGTATAATTTTTCCCATGTTTAACATGAGGAATCCAAGACTTACAGAGTTACTTGTTCAATGCTATACAAGTTATCGGAGCAACCTGGACAACTCACGGCATAAAGATATTTACTGGAAAACAACTGATAAACAAAAGGGCACAACAATTATAAAGAGTATTGAAATCCAAGGGCTGGGTAATCCATTTTTGATATGCTACACTTACATTCACAAGGTACAAATGTTTGTCTAGACACTTTCGACAAAAGGAGAGGATTTCAGAATCTTGAGAAATCTTTAATTTTCTTATTCTATAAAGATAGAACTATTTGGCAATACTGAAAAATTCTCCTTAAGTGGGATCGCCAATGGCAATGCCAGGAATTGGGAAGCAGTTACACCACTGGGCCTTGGTAGCACACTTCCTCACCATCACGACTAGCCATGCCCATTTTCCACTTATCAATGGAAATTCTTACTCCCCGCCCCCTGTTCATTTCTGATTCCTTATTTCCTCTCCCGCAGCAACCTACACATTTAGAAGAACAGCCTCAATTGGTCAAAAAGCCCAATGTTGAAAGAAAGAAACTCTTGAGTAGTAGTTCTGTGTCCCAAGAGTTGAAGCTCCCCACAAGAAGGAACACGAGACAATCCCAGTTACTCTTCTCCACACAAAGCAAACATTTTCCTTAAACCTCTCGTAGGATTTTCACTTTCCAACTGCTTGGAGCCAATCCTCATTCAAACGAGACCACTTCACCTCCTTTCATGATGCATGCCCAAATTCCTTCTGTAAATATCCAGTGACTCTTCAAACCTAACTCCATAGCTGGGGACCTTCTATTCCCTGTCTTTCAAACATCTTTAAGTCCTCTTTCTAGTCTTTGAAGTCCTATCTCCCTTATATCTTTCGGGAGTCTGCGCCTCCCTGCCTTCACCTCTATTCTGCTCTAGGGCTCATGTGCCACATCTTTGGAAGAAAACTACTGCCAAGTGAGACTTTGCGATCCCGGCTCAGAGGTGTGAGCAAACCCCAGCCCGCCTCCTCCTCCACGCCCCTCAGACTCACGTGTCACGGGCAAATGGCGTGGCCAAAGCTCAGAACCCCCTGGCGAATAGCTTTCTGAGAATGGGAGACCGGGCTAGCAAGGGGCCAGCCACAGACCCCGGTCCCAGAGATCGTGTCAGGGGCCAGCGTTTCCCCAGGCGCCTTGCTGTGCCCTACTCCGGGAACCGGAAACAGGAAGCGCCAGGCAGCGGCTGGGCAACTGCTCCTCCCACTAGACCCCGCGGCATGTGACTACAGAACCATTTCTCCCTTTTCTCCTTCCCGGTCTCACTGACAACCCTAAACGCTGATTGGCCGATATCCTAGGGTGTTTAGCCCCGCCCCTACCGTTAATTCCAATTACAATGGAGACTGTCAAATTTGGGTTCTGCTTTTCACTTCGCCTTTCTACCAATGGGGGTCTCAGAGTTCCGCCTCCGGGCACGCTTTGCTCGCGCGCCCAAGTCACGCGGGGGTCACGCCCCAGGTCGACTTCTGATAGGTCCGCTTGAAGAGGGTACGTGAGGGCGCAGGAAGCAGAAACTACGCAAAGCGGCCCGCGCTGCGGCCTTTCTGGGAATTGCAGTTCTTTTGCCAAACATTTTTGTTCAGCGTCTCCCCAGATTCTAAGCAGCCTGTGGGAGCCGCTGTTCCGCCGTCTGTGGGCTTGAGTATACCTGCGTACGGGTGGCCGCTATAGAACGATGGGGTCGTTGGTGTCTTGGTTCTATTAACAACACTTTTTTCTTTACGTCCTTTTCACGGTGTAGTACCTTGGGGTGTTATGTTGTTGTTGTTACCGTTATTTTTATCTCTCATCTTGTGGCATTTGCTTGATAAGCAGACTCTGCAACCATCGGTGTTCACCAGAAGTTTCTTATGCATGCCCTGTTCTTTTCATCTCTCTGCATTTCTGGTGTCCTGGGGAACAAGCAACAACAGTTCTAGTCTTTGTGTCTTTGGTAAGATCCTTTGCGGTTTCCTTATGTTTTATTAGCTATTTGTCGAAGCCCTGCTTGTTCTTAGAACTTAATTCAGATATTCCGGCTACTGTAACTTCCTGGATTCACTCCCACAATGAACTCTTCCTTCCTCAGAACGCTGGTTTGTTGGCTTGTGCCTGGCTTCATTTATCTTGTTTTATTCTGCTTGACATTACTTGACTTGTTTGTGTCTCCCATGCAAATAGGGGCCGCCTTATTAGAACTGTTACCGTGTTTTGAATCTAATAATAATATTAATATCATCAAAAATGTGCACATCTCTGAGGGGCTGGGCACTTTTGTAAGTGCCTTTTTAAATTTTTAAAAATTTTTTAATGTCTTAGAAGGAACCCAACTTTTATTTTACTGAGAAAATAATTTGATCAGCACAGTGGCTAAAGTTTTTTTTCTGATAAATCTGAAACAGACTTCTGGTAGGGGAGTTCACAGTAACTCACAGCTGTTAATGCCTTTCTCTGTTTTCCCCCTGAGTGTCACACAGAGTAATGCTTGGGAAAGTCCTTCAGAGCCCCAGGTGGCCCACGATTTCACAGGTAATTAGAAAATTTGAATCCCTTGATGAAAATTAAGTTTAATTATTAAGTGTTAAGTATTTGAATTTTTTTTTTAAAGAGAGAGAGAGATAATTTTTTAATATTTATTTTTTAGTTTTCGGCAGATGTTACAACATCTTTCTTTGTATGTGGTGCTGAGGATCAAACCTGGGCCGCACGCATGCCAAGCCAGCGCACTGCGGCTTGAGCCACATCCCCAGCCCTAAGTATTTGAATTTTAAGTCAGAAATAGAAAATCTGATATTGCATGAAACTACTAGCAAATTAAGGCCCTGTGAAGCCTGAGGTAGTATGCCATGTGGCCATATATTTAGAGTCCTGGATAGCAGTGCAGTGTTCCTGGGCTAATGTGACTCCATTTGGATCTTGATGCCACCTGTTCCTGGGGCTACTTCCTAGCACTGTCTCAAAGGTTGTTCTTTGGGCTCAGCATCAACTGTGTAAGTGCTGTTAAAAAAGTAGTAAGTAGTTCACTTAATTCACACCATCCTTATGAGGAAGTATCATGTGATTTTTCAGATGAGTAAAATAGCTAAGTATATAACCCGCTCTGGGTGCCGTAGCTATTAAATATTCAAATTTAGGCACATAATCTCCAGAATCCCGCTCTTAATCCTTGAACCACCACACTGATTGTATATTATTCTACATTTGTTAGTGCCAGGCATGTTGGTGTGCCTATAATTCCAATGACTAGAGAGGCTGAGAAAGGAGGATAGAGTTTGACATTAGCCTTGGCAACTCTGTGAAACTGTATTTCAAAATAAAAACTAAAAACTGCTAATCAGATTCCCCCTGGATTCAGTCTCCAGGACAATAAAACCCCCCCATATCACAATTGTTTATTAATTGATCTATTTAGTTCTGGGTTGGATATTGGATGTTTCCTCAGGGAAAAAAGTTAAAAGATGATTTTCCTTCTTATAATAAGAGTAATTTGAAATCAGAAAACAGAACAACAAAAATCATACATAAACACAACAAAAGGTTGCATGTTTTCTTCTTGGAAGTAGTTGTTTCCTTTCTTAAAAAAATGAGTACTTCTCCATATCATTAATTTTCCAGATAGACTTCATGTTTTTTCTGGTGTTGGGGAATCAACTCCAGGGCCCAACATGTTCAAATAAATTTTTTAATAGCTGCATAATATTTAGTTTTATCAATTGTTATTTAATCTATAAATGTTGGGCATTTAAGGTTTTTCTATTGAATTGCTTTTATAAATCCATTCAATAAACATTCACTGAGCAATTACTATGTGCCAAAACTATTATGTAAGTGTGTGTGTGTGTGTGTGTGTGTGTGTGTCTGTGTGTGCCTGTGGTGCTGAGATGGAACCCAGGGCCTCATGCATGCTAGGCAAGTGTGTTACCACTGAGCTACATCCTATTAGCCCTAGCCTTATTATAAGTTTTCAGGGTAGAGAACTAAGACAAAAGTTCCTGTTTTAAAGAACCTTTAACTGGGCTGGGATTGTAGTTCAGTGGTAGAGCGCTTGCCTAGCACATGCAAGGCACTGTGTTCAATCCTTAGCATCACCTAAAAATAAATAAACAAAGGTATCATGTCCATCTGCAACTAAAAAAAATTAAAAAAACCAAAAATCCCCACATGGGTTCAGTGATGCATGCAGTAATCCCAGTGACTCTGGAGGCAAAGACAGGAGGATCATAAGTTCAAAGGCCGGCCTCAGCAACTTAGGAACTCAGCAGCCTCTGTTTCAAAATAAGAAATAAAGGACTGGGGATGTAAAAAGGTCCTCTAGGTTAAGTCCCCAGTACAGAAAAAAAAAAAAAAAAAAAAAAAAAAACCCTCAAAATCCTAAAAACCAAAAACTTTCATTCTAGAATTGAAATTCATTTGTTGGTGAATTCAAGTTTGACTTCAGAAAGTGTGCCTCTTGGTCATTGCCTAGAGTAGCATTGAGTTGGTGGGTGAGAAGTGTACATGTTAAAAGTGGAGAATAGGTCAGAAATGCATTTAGTAGGTAGAATAACCACTCAAATAATAACTACAGAAATTGTGGGGGTGGAAACCGAGGTGGGCTCCTCTTCCTAATCAGTTGCAAATAAACTAGATTACTTACTGCATGTAGGGTCTCAATGCATGTTCTGGGTGCTTTCTGTGTTTGAACTTCAGAGAGGTTTTCGTCAAGGGCAAAAGTTGTTGAGTCTAATCTGGGAGCCTTTCTGGGAATGACTTCTTTAACCTCTTGACACGGTTCTTCTGTGTGAACCTTGTGTTAACAGATTTTTGACCTGGTTTCACTGTTAACAATATCCTTCCTGGGCTGAAGTTATGATTCAGTGGTAGAGCGCTTGCCTACCATGTGTAAGTTACTGGGTTTGATTCTCAGCACCACATATAAATAAATAAAATAAAGGTCTATCAACAACTAAAAAAAAATATTTAAAAAAATCCTTCGTGCTTACAGTTTCTGATCTGCTCCGGGATCTTTTGGAATTTATTTGGTGGTTTCTCAATCTTGCTATGTATGTATTCAATGTGCCATCTTGAACCAGATTTCAATTTAACATTTTTCACTGATTCCTTTTAAAATAATCCCATTTAAC